TGCGAATTGGAAAAGGCTAACAAATCTTCATGAGATTCGTAGCTTTCTTGGCATGACAGGATATTATCGAATATTCGTAGAGGGGTTCTCTCGTATTGCCTCGTCTTTGACCCGTTTGGCTCAGAAGGGAATCAAATTTGTTCAGTCTGAAGAATGCGAAAGGAGTTTTCAAGAGATAAAGAAATGACTAGTATCTGCACCGGTTCTCACTATACCATCACAGGAGAAAATTTACTATTTATAACGATGCCTCTCATAAAGATTTGGGATGTGTGCTCACTGCTCATGCAAAATGGAAAAGTGGTAACTTACGGCTCTCGGCAACTAAAACCTTATGATAAAATTATTCAACTCATGATTTTAGAGTTGGCAGCGGTTATTTTCACCTTAAAATTTTGGAGACATTATTTTTACAGAGTGCATTGTAAAATCTATATTGATCACAAGAGTTCAAAATATATTTTTACTCAGAAATTTGAACACGGGGTAAAGAAGATGGTTGGAGCTACTTAAAGATTATGATATTAGTATTAATTATCACCGAGGGAAAGCAAAAATAGTTGCTTATGCCCTTAGTCGGAAGAGTAATATAGCTTGTCTTATTACTCGACAAAGACATATATTAGAAGATTTGGATCGGTTGAGAATTAAAATACAGTGTCAACAATCATCTGCCAAACTGAACAACATCTAGGTACAACCTGTTTTGATTGATGAGATTAAGATTACCAAAAACATGACTTGGAATTGAAAGCCATTAGAAAGGAGTTAAGGATGGTAAACAACAAGGATTTGTAATGCATGGTGACAGATCCCTTAGGTTTGGAAATCGACTGTGTTCCGAATAATCTAGAATTTAAGAAGAATATTTTGAAGGAAACTCATCATTCTGGATATACAGTGCATCTTGGTGGAACAAAAATATACAAAAAAATTGAAGAAGATATACTAGTGGAGCAATATGAAGAAAGATATTAGCAAATATGTCGCAGAGCATCAAAGACCAGAGACTAGCGAGATTAACTCAAAATTTTGATATACCAATGTGAAAGTGGGAGAAAATTACTATGAACTTTGTTACAGGGTTACGAAGATCTACAAGAGGGAACAACGCCATATGGGTTATAGTGGACCGTCTGACTAAGTCGGCTCACTTCTTGCCGATCAATATGAAGTTTTCCTTGGAGAAGCATGTGAAATTGTATATTGCTGAAATAGTCAGGCTTCATGGTATTCCAATAGAGATAGTATCTGATAAAGATCTTAGATTCATTTTGGAGTATTGGAAAGGTGTGCACAAAGTTCTTCAGAGTATACTCTGTTTTGGCTCAGCATATCATCCACAAACGGATGATCAATCAGAGAGACAATTCAAACTCTTGAGGATATGTTAAGATGTTGTATTCTTGATTTGAAAGGATCATGGAAGGAGCATTTACCATTGACAGAATTTACAAATAACAATAGTTACCATTCAAGCATTAAGATGGCATCGTATGAAGCTCTTTATGAAAAGAAGTGTCATTCGCCTATACACTGGGATAATATTGGAGAAAGGAAACTTTTGGATCTGAGTTAGTGCAATAAGCTATAGGCAAGATTTACTTGATAAGTGAGCGTATTCGAAATGCACAAAGTAGACAAAAGAGTTATGCTGATTGCAAGAAGAGAGACCTAAAATTTCAAGAAGATGATTATGTATTTTTAAAGGTATCTCCTAGAAGAGGTGTGAAGAGATTTGGAATTCGATGAAAGCTAAGTCTAGGATTTGTGGGACTATTTGAAATTCTTCAGCGTGTTGGTAAAGTCACTTATAAGCTTGTCTTACCACCTTCTTTGGCTGCTTGTATCTATACTAAGAAAATTTATTTGAGATCCAAATCAAGCTATAGAACTTGAACCCATTGAGCTAAAAGAAGACTTAACATATGAGGAGCAACTGGAGCGCATTGTAGATCAAAAGTAACAAGTGCCTAGGAGACGTACTATTCGACACGTGAACGTTTAATGGAAGAATCACTCTAAAAGAGAAGCAATGGGGAGCTTGAAGATGACATGCGACAGAAGTATCCTTCACTTTTTGAAAACCAAGGTTTCATAAAGTTTCGAGGACGAAGCTTAATTTATTAAGGTCGGGAGGATGTAGTGAACTAGTTTTCTCAGAAAAAAGAAGAAAAATCAAAAGTCTTTATAACCGAAATAATGTATTATGGTCTTCTTGGGCCTTTTAATTTCTTTAATTAGGAATGAATGTTAGTTGGAGTTACATGACTCAAAAGGTCATAGAAAAACCCTATATATATGAAGAGCTCGCTTTGATTCTTACACCAAAAAAAACGAAAAGAAATAGAATTTTGAGATTAGAGAGGAGAAGAAGTTTCAGCTAAAGGTATGACTTTTTTTGGTTTTCTAGTTTAAATTTGATATAAGTAATAATAAAAAAATAAGAAAACCTTTTCGGGCCACTGGCGTCGCTTCCGACGATATCCAGTGACCTTTGGCCATCCCATGGATTAGTATTTTGCCCGTGGTAATCACCATAACGACCCTAACCCCAACTTGAATGGGTTTAGGTGTATTGAGAAAACAGAGAAAGTACATCAGGTTGAAGAAGAAACGAAGATTTTTAGTTTAATCCTTTGAGTTTCTGAAATTTAATATCTAGTCCAAAAGATAGAGTAGTTTCAGAACATTATTCATAAGACCTTAAACTATGGAAAATTAGTTTTAAGTCCGAGACTTTATAAAGAGAGGTTCCTTGCGAGAACTAATTGTGAAATATTAATCTTAGTCTTTAGACTAGAAAATTTTGTTGTAAGACCCAAGTTTTGCTTTAAAAGAAAGAGAAACAAATGTTTATAAAAGTCTTTGGAAAGCAAAAATATTAGTTTCATACCCTAAATAGTTTACTTTGAAAATCTTTAGTATTTATGCATATTGTATGCTTATATGTTTGGTCGAGGAGTAGGTTCTTGGAGTGCTATTCTCCAAAGTGTTGTCACATTTCTAAAGGTGAGTAGGTTTCTTCTCATTAGTTATTTTAAATTATTATATACTATTTAAATGATAATTTTAATTTTTGTGTAGAGAAATTGTCGACCCGACATGTTATTCTGTTCATCTATAGTAATTGGTAACAAATTTGAATCGTGATAGCTATTTATCTTTTACAACATAAATATTGTTTAATATATGAGATTATTGAAAATACGTCATTTCAAATTTACTGTTCAAATGCATTTATTTAAGAGTTCTATTTGATAAAAAAAATTATTTATTTGTTTAGAGTCATGAATATTCTATTTTCATGAAATTGAGACATGAGAAAAGTTTGCAAAAGTGTTTAAGCAATTTATATTGCTTTTTGCACAAGTGGAAAATGCAAATGATACTTTGAGTGAAAAGAATAGTGTTTTAAATATTAAAAATCCTGAAAAGTTCACTATGGAATGAAGTGATATGTATAAACCTACCATATGGTAAGAATGTACTGACCAGTGTTAAAGTGACCTTTTTAGCAAAAGTAGTGCTAGGTGCATTCTGTCTTTGAGTTGACCTATAGTGATTCGATGCACATTTTCATGCTACTGGGCTATACTTTTTGTAGCATTAGTATGACAACTGAGGAAGTTTGCAAAGTATGATTTTATAGTTTAAAAGTATTTAGTACTCATTCATATTATTTCCTAAATTTTATAAATATTATTTTATGACAGTGTCACGTGCCATTAATAAAAGTTTCTCTTGTTTGAAAATTATATGTTTCCCAAAATTATTCTCGAAGACGATAGCTTATTTAAATTTTAGTATTGATAAATTCTTAAACTTGTCTGATCCGCTAATGATAAGTTTTCTGCTCACTGATTGTAAACTCACCCCATTGTTTTTAATCTTTTTTAGATAAAAATTAAATAGCTTTATCTGTACCTCAGAGCTTTGGAACATGAGAAAGATCTTTTAGTGTGTTTGATGCTAAAAGTTATAGTTATGCTAGTCATGCTATTATGCTTATGTAATAAGAGTGTTTTGACTTATTAGAGTGAATTTGTTATAATGTAGTTTTTGCTCTGAGACTTCTATATGTCAATTTTTTTTTTTTTTGAGTAAAGTTTATTTGTAATATAGAAGTGCACTACAGGCTTAGCATGTGCTTTTTGCACATGTTGTATTTCGGGAGGGTGACATAATATATAATATAGAGTTATTTATTTGGGTGGGGGCGGGGTGGGGATGCATGGGGTCAAACCGAACCTGTGAAAGGATGAAAAACCATAATTCCACCCCATTTTCAAATTCAAAACATTTTGCCGCTAGTAGCATTTTAAATTCTGTTAACAAAATTTTGGAAAAATAACTTTTGTTCACAAATTCTAGTATGTAGTCCTCCGAGGTTCACTCCAGTTGATCCTTTCTTGAGTGGAATTTTACTATCTAATTTATTTTTTCAGTTAAATTGTCGGGAAAACCCTGAGACCCATTGCAAAGTAAACCAAAAAACAGCTCAAAGTGGGGTGTAATACAAGCACCAGAAAGATGCAAGCTAAATATCTCTTTGGTTGCTTTTGTAAATAACACACAATCAAAACTATTTGTACTTTTTGATAAATAAATAAAAGACTATTTGTACTTTAACCTTTCCCAAATCAGGTCGTTCATGTTATTGTCCTAATACTAAGAAAGGAAGAACAATAAAATATGTGTGTTAAAGGTGATACATATTATTATCTAAAGAATTGAAAAATATTAGCCCAACAAGTAAAGAATTTGAAGTGTGAACAGCTCAGGCACTAAACATGCATGGTTGCGTGGTGCAATGGACTGACATATAGGCTTGTTTCCTTTATTTTCAAATTGCCTCTTTCCTTCTACACCCCACCCCACCCCCTGCTGAATTGAATGCTCCACAGAATTACTGGAATATGCCAACCAATATACTCCTACCATCACTTATAAATACAGGAACCTAAAGAGGCATTGAGAACCTCTCATTTCTCCGAACACATTAGAAGAAAACAATACCTTGAACCTATCTCATTCATATAATTGTTGGTAAATATAGTCAAGAACCATGAAGAGCCAATCCCCTTTCGCTCTCACCCTTCTCCTCCTCCCTCCATTCTTGGCTACCCTCTCTGTAGCACAAGATTTTGATTTCTTCTACTTTGTTCTTCAGGTGTGCTTCTCCCTTTTTATTGTTATTATCTACATGGCCTACGGTTATGTTAAACTTTAACGTCTTGAGTTTTGTTGTATGCAGTGGCCAGGGTCCTATTGCGACACCGAGAAGAGCTGTTGTTATCCGTCGACAGGAAAGCCTGCGGCAGACTTTGGCATTCATGGGCTTTGGCCTAACTACAATGATGGCTCATATCCATCAAACTGTGATCCTGACAGTCCCTATGACCAATCCAAGGTATCTCTTCTTCATACAGTTTATGATAATGTTTTTATTGCATGTTTGTCAATTAAAGGAATACATATATTATGGGTGAAAAGAATCTGTGCTCTTTCTACTAAAATTTATTAACTTACAATTTGGTATGTTTGTAAGGAAATATTTCTTTTATATGCTATTGCTGCTGTCTGATGACTCTGATCACTGACTGTGGTCACATTTTGGGGAAATTCTTGATGCCTTTTTTGGGTTTATAATTATATGTTTTCCTAGTCTAGTTATATCTTTAAAATTTGTAGAATCTTATTATTTGCTATACTTCATATATAGCTAATCTGCTGCTGTACAGTATACCATAAGCCTTACGGTACACTTCCACGAGTAATATTTTTTTAAGATGATGATGATATATCCCTTGTACTTATACGCTGATTATTCATTGTGAATTAATGTTTACATTTTTTCCATGGTTATGGAAATTTACTTTGAATTTCAAACCTTCCATTTTTACGTTCGTCTCACAAAAATAGGCTCAAATTTGGAAACTAATCAAATGCGGGATATAAGTTATTTCACATGGAGATACCAGTACCTTTACATGAAATTATTTCATGTGAATTCCATACCTTCCTTTTTAATGCTAGTCTCACAAAATTAGGCTTATATTAGGAAACTAGTCAAATGAGGAATATAAATTATTCGATTTGGACATGCCAAGTATACTAAATATATTTGGAAAAAGTGCTAACAATTGTTGGCACATCCAGTACGTGATTTTTATTGTGTTAACCTTCTAGCAGCTAGATTTCTAAATATAAAATTTAAGGAAATCTTTAGATATATGCCGCTTTTGTTCTAAAACTTGCTAGAAGCTTACATCATAAACATAGGCCAGCCTCAATTACTGGTAGATTTTAGATACTTCACCTCTTAGAAAATCAGAATTACCCCCTCAAAAAAAATAATAATAAAAGAAAAATCAGAAATACAGTATTAACATTAACAAAAAATATTGAATTGTTTTTAGTCAAATACAAATCAGCTCAAACGAATGATCCTACGTTTAATATATGTTGTATATATAGATCGAGGACCTGGTGAGAGCAATGCAAGAGAACTGGCCAACCCTAGCATGCCCCAGCAGCGACGGCACACATTTCTGGACACACGAATGGGAAAAGCACGGCACGTGCTCAGAATCCATCCTCGACCAGCACGCCTACTTCCAGTCTGCTCTCAACCTCAAGAAGCAAGTGAACCTCCTTCAGGCCTTGACTGATGCAGGAGTTAAGCCGGACGGCGGGTTCTACAGTTTGAATGAGATCAAGGATGCAATCAATGAAGGGACTGGCTTCACCCCAGGAATCGAGTGCAATGTGGATGGATCGAATAACAGCCAGCTCTATCAGATATACTTCTGCGTCGATACTTCAGGGTCTCAGCTCATTGAATGCCCTATATATCCCAGGGGAAGGTGCGGTCCCAGGATCGAGTTCCCTGCCTTCTAATTAGGTTCCATGTTGACGTCGGTCCATGCGAGTGTTTAATTAGATTCCGCTGCTTGTCGATCCATTGAATAAAGGGCCTCAGTATGTTTTGGATACTACTGTTATTATGCTTCCATTTTATTCAGAGTTCTTATCATTTTTATGGAATGTATTGCTGCAGCCCACAACTGATGCAAGTTAGTTGAGAACTAATCAAAGGTCAGGGAAGGAGACTATGATTCATTATGTTAGGCAGCAAGATGGGAGTTAGACAAACAAACTAGAGGAGGGATGTGCGATGTGCCACCATTGCAGTGATATTGAAGACCTGAGACTGTTGCCGACCTTATTATCTAATCTAATCTTTCTAACATGACTATTATAAAAGTAGGTAGCCATGTAGAAGCATTTCTTCCAAAAATGCCCTCCAATGTATGTTAAAAACGCACACATGAACGCAAGAAACGCAAACATTCATACACGTAAGAATACACATACATAAAAAAAATCATACCCCTTCGAATCCTTCTCGTGACCTCAATTAAACTATTAATTAAATGTAATAAGTACATCTCCAAATTGCATCCACTACCATTAGAATATTCAACTCAATTAAATTCCCTTCTCTCTGGTATTCATATTGTAATGCATTGAATTGCTACTAAATAATTCTATTTCTTATAGTATTACTATTGTATTAACATTTTATAGGTGTATGACTTAACAAAGATAAAACATATATTTAGACCTAATAATTGAAGTTATGGCATTAGAAACTAACAATTTTTCAATTCCCCATCATAGTGTAATAGTATGTTTTATCTATGGTCTAAAACATTTGATCTATATTTTATGTAGTGTATGCTTTGTATAATCTAATAGCCTAACAAATATATATTCTTTGCTAACTACTATATTATCTAATGTATATGCTTTACATTATCAAATGTATGCTTTATGTTGTGCGCATCGGAATCGAAGAAACACAACCAAACTGAGATAGAATCATAACCAATAAGTAAAACAAGAACCAAAACAATGCAAGACACAAATTTTACGTGGTTCGGTAATGTGCATACGTCCACGGGGCAATGAGGGGATGAGTTTTGACTATTAGAGAGAGAGTACAAATAGAGATTACAAAATCACTCAAAACTCACAAATTAATCTCTCAAACAAAACTCTCAAATCTCACACCAAATCTCCCAAATATACAGCTCAAAAGTCTCTTCAATTTGCCTTTTAGAAACCCTAAAACTCGTGTTCCTATTTATATCAAAATAGAAACCCAAACCAATCAGGAAACTGAAACAGGGCCCAAATCCGTGATCCGGTCGACCAGGCATGAGCATCCGGTTGACCGGCTAGAAAATCAAAGTTTAACCCTGTAAAACAAACAGAGTTCGGTCGACCGGGCTTCTCCTCGCGGTCGACCGACCAGAGGTTCGGTCGACTCGGCTTCTCCTCACGGTCAACCGGTCATAGGGGCTGATTTCTCAGCCTGTAGTGTGCACGTTTTCGGTTGACCGGTCCTATCCTCGCGGTTGACCGGACTGCATCCCAACTGTTGCATGCTTCGTTTTTCCTGTCCTTCGTCGTCATGTCGCCGTTTTTACAATTCTCCACCACGACGAAGTTTTTCTAAAACTGAGTCAACCCCGATATCAATCAAGCATCCCACTTGTTGCGTCCAGTACGAAGTGGAATCAATCCACGACAACGGACTCAATCCACAACAAATCAGGAATCCAAATGAGAACTCAAATAATCCCCCCCCCCATGTCGATACTCATCAAATTAGCTGCATCAAACTGAGTGCCTACGTATCCTCTTGCCTAATGAATCAAGCCTCAAGTAGTTCACCCAAATGGCCTCCAAATACCCTCAACAACGAAGAATGTTCAACGACTCCAAACAATGACCAAATTTTACCCCGGTGATAACTTTGGTCAATATATATGCAGGATTGTCCAATGTGTGGATATTCTCCAGTATAACATCTCCATCATCCAAAACGTCTCGAACAAAGTGGAATCTAACATCAATGTATTTTTTGCATACATGATATACCTGGTTCTTTGCCAAATAGATAGCGGACATGCTATCATACTTTACCTTGATGGTATCATGTGCAATCCCTAAGTCTTCTAATAAACCATGCAACGACAAAGCCTTCTTCACAGCTTCAGTTAATGCCATATACTTAGCCTCCATAGTGGAGAGAGCCATTGTAGACTGAAGTGTCCCTCTCCAACACACCGGTACTCCTTCTAGTGTAAACACAAATCCAGTAGTTGACCGGCGCTTGTCAAGATCCTCAGCATAATCCAAATCCACATATCCAACACAACCCTGCCCATTTCTTTTGTTCTTCTCAAACATCAAACCAACATCCACAGTACCTTTGATATACCATAGAATTCACTTCATAACCTCTCAATGACCCTTCTCGCAGTCGTGCATGTACCTAGACACCATGCTCACGGTCTGTGACAAATCTGACCTTGTACATACCATCGGATACATCAAGCTACCCACCGTACTGACATATGGAACTTTAGACATGTATTCAATCCCTGTCACGCCCCGCTTCCCAAATTACCGGGGAATCGGGACGCGAACAAGCCCGCGACGTATTAGACTGAGAAGAGATAAGTGCTAGACCCCGTCTTCTCAATCTAATACGCTAAGCGTCTGGAAATAAAAACAATGCGAAGTCACAGGTCCCCGATCACACATAGCAAGAATATAATGAACAATACAGAATATGAAATAACATATCATCAAAAGTAGATCATCCGAGACATAGAATATTCGGGTCAACATACCCTTATACAAAACTAAACAAATGCATATTGAAGAGGTACAAAGATACATCGATCAAAGGAAATAGAAAGAACTACAAAAGTAACAATGACCAGCATATAACAAAAGAGACGACTAGACTTCGGCTTCTTCTTCTGCTATGTCTGCAAGGCACTCCTGCTGAGAATCTTCTGACTCCTACTGAACCTGTTCTTCTCCTAAGTCTGACGTACACCAGAGAAAACAGGTGTACGTCAGGTGCATGGCGCACGGCAAGACCCGACCCCACAAAGAAAATAGAACGAACGGAAATCCAATGCGAAAAACGATACGATAACAGAAACAACAAAAGAACGTACAACTGAAATCCACAAATCAACATGAAAACACTACTAAATCATGATAACATAAAACATCCAGAATCGATCAGGTAACGAATCATGTAGCTAGCGATCAGTTTAATCATCCAAGTAACAGGGGCATACAATAGATGGAATTAATACCTAAAAATCTACAACAAGAGACGTAGTACGTCGAGCGAAATAATCCAAACAAGGAAACCCTCATGTATATACAATATGTCTCGAATTGTAAATAATTAAATATTAATCCCGATCTATGTATGAAAGGAAACACAACTAGCTTAGCCTGGAATAACAATACACATCCGATCACTGCTCCTCAGACTCACCCCAGTGCGAAACGATTCACTGGTGCGAGCCTGGAAATAAACAACAACATATCCGATAACATGAACCAAGACTTTCTCATCCCAAGTCCAAGTTAACAACTCATATCTCACGGGTCACTATGGTCAAGCAATACTCGCGATTCTTAACTATAACAATGTATAAAAACAATGAATACTATGTAACAGTGTCATGAATCATGAACAGGAAACGTGAACAACTACAAAAAAAACGTGCAAGACGGAACTACAACTATCAAATAATTATGCATGAAATCTCGCAAATTTCAATCGTCATGATCATAAATTTATTTATTCCAAAAATTCTTTTAAAAATTCTTTCTCGTTATATTAATTCAAAACTAACCCTTTTTCAAAATCAACTTATTTTCTTATAATAATAATTTTAAAATAAATCTAAAAATATTCTTTTTTATGAAAAGTGTCTCGTAATTAATATCATTCATCAACAAACTCACGCAAGCAATTACATATCACAGTCTAATCCATGAAATTAGTTACTAACGGATATAAATAATGGAATATCAAATCAAGGGAAGCGGGATCTTGCCTCGGGGTTCGTCGAACGAATCGATGTTGACGACGTGGGTCTGATCTGAGCAAGGGCAGCGGGGTCAGTGGACTGTCCGACGACGGCTTGAAGGCGGCGACAACGCTGGATCTCAGCGAGGGCTCGGTACGACGACGGGGGTAGTGACTGGAGGTTGACGAGGAGGAGGCTGAGGCGGGCTGGGGAGGAGCAGCGGCAAGAGGGTGGTGGCGCTGGTTGAAGGCGACGGTGACTGGAGGTCGCTGCTGGTGGCGACGGTGAAGGGGGAACGGAGAGGGGTTGCTGAGGCGCGGGCAGCGGCGACGGCCAGCGGCGGTGCTCAGGCGGCGAGCGCGGAGGAGGGCAAGGCAGCGTTCGGGGGTCCGGGGTGGTGATATAGGCAGTGGTTCAAGTAGACGGCAGATGGTGGTTAAGAGGGCCGTGGGTTTCGTCGTGGTCGCGGTGTTGGGTGGTGCGGACAAAAACAGAGAGAGAGAGATGAGAGAGGAGGAGAGAGAACGAGAGAGAGAGAGGGGAATTGGGATCTGGGGTGGGTTTCTTTGAAGAGGAGAGAGAAAATGATTAAATATTAAGAGGAGAGATGATCATGGGTTGGTTACGGGGAGGGATTTGAGGAATCAATTAAGACACGTGATTTGGGGTGTTTGTTTGGGAAAGAAATCAAAAGGATGGGGAGTGATTTGAATTGATTGGGGAAAATTTTGGAAGGAATTCAAATTCAAATGAGAAAATAAGAGAGGGAAAATTCGAAAATCTCACCTAATATTCTGAATTATATTAATAATTAATAATCAACCAAAAATCTTTTTATTAATATTTATATACTACTGTACTATACTCAAGTTTACATCAATAATAACAAGGTCATTAATAATATTAATCACCAAAAGATTATATATAAAAATTATTAAACCGTAAATTAATATTTAGCAGAATTAAAAATACAAGACTATATATTTTATTATTTATTTATTTTGAAAACTCAGAAAATTCCAGAAATTAGGAAAAGTATTAATAAAATATAATATATTATTTTAAATATTAAAAAAAATTTATTTAAATACGTATCAAAATTCACGGTTGTTACAATCCTCAACTAAAACAGGTAATATCTTAGCTGAAAGCTTAAAGTGGGGAGCTAATGGAGTACTCACCGCCTTAGCATTGTTATCAAAATTGAATTTCTTCAGCATCTTCTGTAATTAGATCCTCTGTGTCAACTTTAACCTCCCCTCCACATTGTCTCTCTCAATTTCCATACCCAATATATTAT